CTGACTGCGTGCCTTGATTTGAGGGAGGGTCTGCACTTTAGTGCTGCGAGGACCCTCCACATAGCATGCATGGGCCGTCTGAGCCGTGTTAGGGGAATTCCCCCACCGCCACCGCCCAAAAAAAAGGACATTTCATATGGCGAGGGGTGACGCGATAGGGGGGGGTGGACCTCCGGGGGGCCTGTTTTTTGCACTTTTGGGGTTCATTGAATGAGGCCCACTACCCCATAGCCCGCGATGTGCGCACATGCCCCTCGGGGCCACGTTCAATTTTTTCGTGCCACGCGGCGCGCAGCGCGATTGAACACGGTCCCGGGGGGTATGAACGCGCGCGTTTGAACGAGAACGCGCGTTCGGCGCGTTCAACCGGTTACACAGGTGCTTAGGAGAAAAGGTGTGTGGCCCAAGGATGATGCTTGGCCTACGCACAAAAGAAGAAAACTTTCAATGAACCCCCCCCTGGACTGCATGTGTATTGGAAGGAGCAATTGTCTGGCCACACTTAAATGAATCGAGAAAACATCACGAGATACTAAAGAGCTACCATCTAACGCGAGAGCGGAGCTACATCCCCCAATGTAAAGCCCTCTCGCAAATGGCCCATCCCCAGCCATCTCATAGCACTAGGTGGGGGTGCCCCTGAGACGAGCGGCCTGCGCCCTGAGCATGAGCGTGGGCGGGTCGAGCCAAATGGGACCCACAACGAGGTCGACTCAGGCTCGAAAGTCTTTCAGGGTACGGCCCTACACCGTTCGGCTACCGTCGGCACTATCAATCTTAGTGGCTGAATCGACGCCTTGTCAGCAGCGTTGACTTGACAGTTCACGACGATGAATTTCACGTTGTCGCGAATATTAAACTAATACCACTCATTTTTGTCGATTGCCACTTCCGTGATCCGGACAGCGAAATGGGGTGCAGTTTTCTCATGCGTCGTCTTAACCCAGTCATACCTTATGAACGGGTGCGGCACTACCATCCAAATCCCACTACCATCCGTCTTTCGTTTTCCTAACCGACCCTCGTTCCAGCGATAGTCCCGAGCTCTTTCATTGACCCTTTTCCGGTCGTCCTTAGTGAAGTCCTGGAGGGGGTTACCTAATAAGGTGACAATTAACGCAAGAGGAGAAACTGCAGCACATTTTGTTTACCTTTTTTAACTGCCTTGTCGTGCCTCGCTAGTTGTCTCTCAATGGAGGGCGCGTCGGCTGCGCCTCCCTCGCCTCCACTTTCGGATTCCCTTGTGCGTCGCGTTCTTCCCGGAGATGGGGAACTCCCTCTTCCATCCGCGCTTCTGTCGTCTTCGCCTCCCCCGTCACCGCCCTCGTCCTGCGTTGTGCCGTCGCTGCTCCTGCCGTCCTCGTCATCAGCGTCGTGAGTGTCGCGAGAATGTCCGTCGGAAGTTTCACTGTCACCTCCCTCGTCACTTGTGGCCTCGTTCTCCTCCCCGTCAGACTTTTCTGATATGGACTGGTCATGTTCCTCTTCTGCTTCCTCTCGGCCCGCGCTGTGCATATCGTCCGAGGCTCTCTGATCGATCATCTCCACCATTCTGTCCTTTTTGTACGTGATTTTCTTCTTTGTCCTGCGATGCACCTTTGACATTCTCTTCCCTCGACCTCTTCTTGGGGGCTTGGGTGGACGGTTCTCGACGCCGGTGGCACGGTTCCGTGTGGCAGGAGTCGCAGGGGGTGACTCATTGCGTTCTTTCAACTTTGAAATCCCCCTCTAACTTGATGGGAGAGAAACTTTTGATCCGTTTCTGCAGCTGCTGGTCTGCTCTGTTTTTGCATTCTAGGATCCGCTTCTGTGATGCTCTTTCCTTTCTTTTTTCTTATCAGCCTTGCATTTACGATACGCCTCGTCCTTCTTTCCCACGACCTTCAAAGACCTGCACAGATCCTCGTATTTTGGCCTTAGAGCCATGACCCTTTTTTCCCCACATATATCAAAGTGGAATACGAACAAAAACTGCGTCAGCAATGTCGTGCATCGATCCATACACCCGTGAAGTGTAATGACCGCATTCAGAGAGAGAGAGAGAGAGAGAGAGAGAGAGAGAGAGAGAGAGAGAGAGAGAGAGAGAGAGAGAGAGAGAGAGNTTTTTTCCCACATACATCAAAGTGGAATACAAACAACAACTACGTCAGCAATGTCGTGCGTCAATCCATACACCCCTGAAGTGTAATGGCCGCAGAGAGAGAGAGAGAGAGAGAGAGAGAGAGAGAGAGAGAGAGAGAGAGAGAAACATACACAACCAAGATCTTATTGTTGATACTGCGACGTCATTTAAGTTACCAACCTCTTTGTGCGTCAGAATGACTGTATCTGTATTGTCAGGCGGCACGGGTTCGCATAGTCACAATAACAAAAAAAAAAAAAAGCAAAGAAAAACTTTGAACATGTCCCCGGCTATCACCGCGAGAAGGTTGGCTACTGCGGGTCAATCAACTGGTGAAGCCACCGGTCTTTATGTAACAAATGCCCGCAATAGTGGACTTTCCTCACATCGTCCTTTGACGACCTCAACGGTCAAGCCAACGGTCAATTCGCCCTCATCATTAACGTCAGTCTGCTCTTCTCTCGTTCTCGTCATGTCCTCGACTTTCGCTTTTCCCTTAATGCCGGATGACTTTTCGATTATCAACTGGGGAGACTTTGCTTCACCCTCTGTCATTACATCGTACATTTTTGCGCACCAAGGGTTCGTCAACATTTTCTGCCACCTCTTTGCTGACCTCTCACTGGTAAATGGCAACAACGGTTCGCTTGCCACCTCTCAGCGGTGCTGTTCGTCTTTATTTTCCATCCTTGGACCGATGACCGGTTCCATACCCACATATGAGCACTTCGCGCCGCCACCACACGTGTTACTTTTCTGTGACTCTATCATCCTCGCTTGGCTTCTCTTACCTGCACCCTGTTATTCAGTGTTCTGTGTCGCTCATTCTCGAATGTTGCGCGACGTCGTAAGTTTTTTTTCCTATTCACACTTGTCGGTCAAAATGGAATGACACACACGGTTTGTTATTTTTTTAACAGTTTTTATAGGATACTTTGGAGAGAGAGAGAGAGAGAGAGAGAGAGAGAGAGAGAGGGTACTGTGTGCCAAAACTGAAACGACTATCACTGTTGACCACGTAAATTTCACGCAGTAGTGAACTTTTGGGGACACTTTCGTCTCGCATGTGGTTTTCACCGCTTCATAAGTTTGGTCACATTTGACATGATATTTCTCAACAAATAACGGAAAGAAAGAGACGAATGTCCTCTCTTGTTCCTCTATACTTCGGAAGAAACAACATGACTGTCCCGTGACGACGACAGATAGAAACTCTCTCTCTCTCTCTCTCTCTTTCTCTCTCTCTCTCTCTCTCTCTCTATTAGCAAACATAGAAACTTTGCATTTGTYTCTTCTACAATATGTACTTGTTCAAATAAAAACAGTCCTCACGCTGTTTTGCATGCTGCTTCCATCCCCATTGTGGTTTAGAGAAGCACGGAACAATGTGAACTATGTCTACAATGGTGTCGGTCGAAATGATGGTACTGTGTTGATGTCCACTCAACTTCTCCCATTTCAATTTCTTGCAACCTTTCATGTGTTGCCGTTCACTGTCGACCTCCTTGTACCATTGCACAAATGCGCAACTGTGTTCCATATTACCGCTGTCCGCGGGTGCGTCCACGACAAAAAACATGGCTACTGATGCAAACCATGTGCATTCGTTGCCTGCTCTAATTGCGACGTCACTGTGCACTGGTCTCCCATGGAACTGTGGCGACGCTCTTGCAGTTTGAACAAGTGTACCCCTGTTTATTCCGTCTTGTACGTAGGCGATGGCCAGGTGTGTCCGTGTGTGTATAAGCAGGTCGTCAGAAGGAGGTTGACAGTCATTCTCTACCATGTATGTCGTAAGCGCAACTCGAAAATCTCGTCTACAAGGAAGTTCTTTGAGTATCTTACACGCATGGTTGTCAATGCCTTCTTCCTCGCGTATGTACTCGTCATTGATGTCGAACCACCGCAGTTGCAGCATTGCCGTATCGCGTAGTGCGAGAGTGTTCATTCCGGTGGCCATACAGTCTGTCACGGACGACCGGTTCTCAACCATTCTCTTCCTCCGTTTCCTCACGATCCCGATCACTTCGCGCAACGCCAATGACCGGCGTACACGATTTACCATCTGCGTTGAAGCTTTCCGCTTGTTTGATGACAGGTATGGCTGCTTGCAGAATTTCCTGTGGTGATGCTCCCAAACATCTGTCGCAAAGGTGTCGGGGACACCGGATCGCTCAATACACGTTGTCAGATGCATGAGATCGTGCAACTTGGGGAGTTTCCATGTTGATGGTCGATATTTTTTCAATTTTGCTTTGATGGTCGTTACGAAGTCTGTGATCAAAGCGTCGCATTCATCGAACGAAGCACGAGTGTGTGTTGTACACCGAAACACTCGTATGTACATTAATTTTTTATCAGTTTCACAAAACAAACGGTAATGCCCTTGCCTGTCGAGCGAGGTACAATATTAGAAATAAGGAACACGCACATTGTCATCACATACCGGTTTTGCTTCGCCTCGAACTGTCTCTGCCTCGAAAAAAAGTCATTGCCAGTGGCCATCGACAGCACAAGTTAGGGGTATGTTCGCGTGCATCTCTCACTAATGCTTCCCAACCTTGCATCTAGTTTCTCCAGGATCTCTGTTTGCGGTAAGTGCGACAACTTCTCAAAGGCTACGGTCCTGAATGCGTCAATCATGTGCAGGAATATGCCGTGCTCGATTGTGTGCATACGGTCTGGTTGCAATGCCAGGTGGTAGTCTAGGTGAGGATCGTCACCATAGGGGCCCCTGTAGAACCCCCAAAGGTCGTTCTGTTGAACATGTCTATGCATGTTCAACACCGACATTCGTGCTTCCGCTGTGAGGTGTGTTTCCAATGTCTGTGATCTCCTGCAGTCAGTGAAATCAAAATCTTTTTTGGAGACGGTGCATGTCGTACATACACGGAACTTCACAATTGCAATCGCACATACTTCTGGGTGGTCCTGGATATAGTTGAGGAGGAAAGGGTGGACAGTTATGTCCCAAATCGTGTTGTCGGTATCATTATTCCGTCATGAGATGCCTCCTTCGCAAACTGCAACACCACCGAAAGGGCCTTGTGCAAAATGATGGCCTTTCGCTTTCTGAATGCGGTGGACTGCAGACCCCATCCTTTGTCACGTGGACGATTATGAAGCACATGAAGATAGGCCAGCAGCGTGGCTTCGGATGCGTGGTCGGCTAGTGACATCATCAGAGGGTACGCCGTCTGTTTTTGATGACCGTCTGTATGTGTCTTGTCGGAATACAATGAAAGAGGGATAACATAACGTGGATTACCATTCTCGTCCACACCTTTATCCGCTCGACTGATCGACTGGATGTGATAACTTAGCACCCCACTGCGTTGGCCGGATATACTGAGGTGCTCTGACTGCGGAGACAGTTCTAGAGAAGATACCGTCTCGCATTTCTGTAATGCGATATGAAAAATTGACAGAAATCTCATTCGCCAATTGTGGTGCCACAAGATGGCGTGCGCATCCCGTGGCCAATCGTCACAACGTAGATCCAACTTTTTCCATCCAGCAGCCTTTTCTAGACTCCCTGCCCATGTCAAACACTCTCGACTATTACGATACGCGATGTCTCTCGTGCTGAATCTCGGGTCTGTGAAAAGTGACAAGAGAGCATCTATGTCGCTCTGCGACATACCGACGCCGCCCTTAACGAAGAAAATCAGTGCCGCCAACTTGCGAGAGCTGTCAAAAGACTCGACAGGTTGCGGTTGCTGCTCTTCGAATGTCCCGCCCTCCCCGTCTACATTCTCGGGGGCCCCGACATCCTCGCTCTCATCGCTCATGAGATTCACTGCACCTATACTTAATGGTCCGACGTCATCGACCACACCCATCTCCTGGCCATGTGTTCTTTCGTCCTCCACGGTCGGGCATGCCCTCGCACGATGTGAGTTCAAAGTTCGTAATGATATGAAAAGCCTGCCACAGTCGCACACCCGTGGACCGCTGTCCATTTTCTGTGCACACAGTGCATTCCAAAAACAAACAGAGCGGTACGGACGGTGTTTTGATTAGCATTTTGTACATTGGTTCAGGTTGTTAGAATTATAAGTTGTAGAGCATATTTTGTTATATTGTGTAAGTGTCGCACATCCTCTTGTCTGTGAGAAAGAGATAGAGAGGGAGTACTGACTGTCGTTTTTGGTACGAATGGTCTGTGTCGCTGATCCCAATTGACAAAGATTAGTAGTCAACCATGCGACACGATAATTTATATGCCATGACAGGTTCTATGGTCGTGTAGAAAGAGGCAACGACGTACGCATGGTATACGATATATGACACAACATTCATCACCACGTTTGTGTGGTTGCCCAAGTTCGCAACTATCTATCCACGACGTTTAGGAATGTGGTATGTGTTTTCCATGTCCGCGTGAAAATGATTGCACCTCGGCACCTCAGCCGACCTCCGCAACCACTTCCAAAACATTTAACAACCTACTACATTTGAATTTAAATTATAGAGAATGCAAAAAAAAACACAACATACACACATTGGTCATCATAGGGGGTCTGATGTGTCTCACGTACTCCAAAAGGCAAAAAAATATGACATACATCGTAACAATCATCAAGTGATTGAAATATTGTTCAATCCTGTGTCTGCACGCTGTAGTGAACCGCATGTACTTGAAGAGGCAAACAACAGGCAGCATCAAACGTAATCCGCAGATGGATGTACAGGCTCTAATATAGCTACAACTCGACATATGAGAGAGAGAGAGAGAGAGAGAGAGAGAGAGAGAGAGAGAGAGAGAGAGAGAGAGAGAGAGAGAGAGA